GCATCAAATAAATATTCTAGTACATGTACATTTTTGTCGCAGACCGATGCTCAAATTGTTTTTGCGTAATTTCAGGAGGCCACGACTCGTGAACAGAAGATTGGGTGTGTTCTAGATATCCTCCCCATCAGAGGAGTGTCCGACTCTTACAACAGATTCTGTGATGTCCTCCAAAAGTGTGGCCACAACTTTCTAGCAGACTTCCTTCGAGATGAAGGTATATATGCATCCATGGAAATGATATCAAAATCAAAAACGCATTCTGAACAAGTTAACTTCACTACATATACTTTTGAGAACTGGACACATCTAATTCTCATTCATAATAAAGTCATTTTCATTGATCAAAATAAATTTAAAACAGTGCAAGTGATTTTGTATTGGTACATGTAAACGTCTTTAAGAAGAAAAGGGGGTAAAATAGTCGCAATGAATTTTTATATAAAGATTAAAGAAAGACTGTACATATTTTAACGTAACGCAATGTGGAATTCAGTGAATCTTTTATATCTCTAGGAACTTTGGATGATGGTAAGTCTTTCTGTCCATCCTTTACACGCTACGTCGTTTATTTGTAAATGCTTTTGGGAACTGGGAAAGTGACATTGTATTATAAGTCGTATTATTAAATCCAATATTGATATTAAATATCAGTCCAAAACGAACATCAATTCAAGTTCAATTCGATGAAATATCATTTCAAAAGAATTTTGATAAGCACTTTTTTTTTAAAATTCAGTATTAATCATTATACATAGATATTTAATCAATAATTTGTTTACATATTTTAATTAACATTAATCATGATATAGACGAGGATGAGATAGACGAACGAGAGCTCAGTAAGTTTCAAGATGTCAGCCATCTTTGGTTCCACCTAAATACGTCAAACCCATAAGAATCACTCTTCAGCCAATTATCATTAACATAATACAATTATTATTAACATATTACAATTATTATTAACATAATACTAACACTTGGTGGTAGATTAATACGAGTATTTACTAATCTAGTAATAATTTTTATTGAAATTCTTAACTTTGTTTTTTATCTGCTCTTTGGACAATTTATTCTCTCTTGTTGTACAAATTTTACAAAGAAGAATCACACTCATACTTCATTCTCAGCTATATGGTATTTTTATATCTGCCCTCCCCTGCCTTATAATAACTGCCCTTTTGCCAGAAACTTAACCAAACCTTTGAACCAATAGAAATATAAAAGACATCGTATACTAAGTACAATATTCTTTAAAAGAGTTGAAATAAGATAAAAACTGAGTTTCATATTTTGAAAAAAACGTTTTAAAAAATTACAAATACCTCTAAAATGTCGGGTAAAATTAAAACTCCAAGTAATAACGATACTTTTCTTGATATGATCAATTTATTTTATACAGCTTTGGATCAAAAAATTGACAAAATGGTCAGAGATCGTGAAAAGAAGGAAAATCAAGGTATATACCGTGTGCTCTTCTTCCCAAAGGAAAGACTCCCTAATGAGCACAAAATACCTTCTATACCTTATTCTTCACTTTAAAACAAAAAATGATCCCCTCCCCCTTCTCGGATAACATTCGTTCTTGACTTAACAATGAAAGCGTGTTCACTATAGTATATTCCTTACATTCTGTAAAATATGACACAGGGATATAGAAAATGCCTCCACAAACCCTTTTCTGACTTGTCAATGTGGTACTGATCCAAATGCAAAATTTTAACAGTGAGTTAAATTTTATCGGTTATACACAAAACTAAAATGCCATGAAGAAAGAATTTTTGAAATATTCAAGCAGATCCGAACATTAAAAAAAATCAATCACTACACCTTGAGAACTAATACTACATCGTATACATGTATCATGATTCTCAGTTTGATAAATATAAACTGACGGCGATTAAGAAGATGAATAAAGAGCATGCCATTTTATTTCAGCGTTCCATTTTGAACTAGGAACTATATATAGGCTACCTTGTTTCTTTCAAAAAATGAATAAGATCTGTCTTTTTTTCAGATGTCCTGGCCACAAAGTTTGATACCAGAGAGATGTACAGAAGGTTGCCTTTCCTCGAACGCCTACGAAGCCATGAGAGGGACGGAATAGAAAAGTTCTTTGTCGATAAGGTATTGTATTTATGCTAATTCAATATTTGGTACCTTACCTTGGTTCGTCTTTCATGCCTACATTTTGTAAATGTCTCTATTGAATAAATATGATAAATTTTGAACACTATGTTACGATTTCGCAAAAAGCCTTGGTATATATTTGCCTTCACTAATATTTTACGCTGAATTCAGAATATCATGCAACATTAAAAAAAAGATAATCGGAATAGTTTTTATCTCTCAAAATATTTGTTGACGTAAGAAATGAATTCGATGGTAAAGTTTTCAGCATGAACTAGTATCCTATATATCAATAATTTCAGTATCGTTATTTGTACATTTTATTTTTGTACTTTTCTTGTCAGCTAAGAACGGAAGCGTTAAAGATGGTATGGAAAGATGACGTCAGAGACAAAGAGAAAGCGGTGGAGGCTCGTCGTAAATTGATAGAGCAAAACGATCAGCATCGAACTGAAGCCGAAAAATGGAATACGGTATTACAAAACATGAAAACAAAACTCGAAGATAGCAAAATGGAAATCAACGGGCTTAATGCTCAAGTGAAAAGCTTAGAAAATAATTTGAAAGAAGTATCTTCCAAGCATAAAGGAGATGTAAGCTCACAACTCCGATTCAACCAAGCTAATGAGAATCAGTTACAAAAAGCTAAAGAAAAGCTCAATAATGCAGAGGCCACCTTGAGAGATATTAAGGGGAAGCTAAGTGAAGCCCTTCAGAGTCGTCCAAAAAGGTTAACACAAAAACAGGAAGTGGAATTACATATCAACGAATTTGCATTTTTGAGTGAGGATGTGGATAGGTTGTTAGAGAAGCACGAAGAACTGAAGAGTATCGGCATGAAATACTTTGACCTCTGCGAGCAACGAGATTTTTGTTTGACACATATGGGATTTGAGACTGGTATGGGCGCCCCCTCTCTGATGGATGCTTACAGGGAATATGCAGTGAGAACAGACGAAACGATGACAGAACTGAAAGAGAAAATTGAAGAATACGATGAAATTGTGCAAAGCTCAAAGAAAAAAGCAGAACAAGACGAAAAGAAGAAAAATGCTTTCCAGATGGGTGCAACAGTTTGGCAATCTGCCATAATGAATGTCATGCGAAACCAACTGCAGGATGTAAAACTCGAAAATCGAAAGAAGGATACTCGCATACAGCTACTTGAAGCTGAGGGATCAAAGTCCAAAAATAGAATAAATGAATTGGAACAAGAACTGAAAAGGTTGAAAAACTCAAAATCAAGAACCTCCCGGGAATTGATCAGCGTGGAAAATCTTAACGGAGCTGTATCTTCCGTGAGTACTGATAGGAGCGATCGTCTGCAAGATTTTGAGGAGGAAACAAAGAAGAGGAGAGCGAGTAAGGAAAATATATTACCACAGATACATAAGCAGACATTCCCTCCCGCACAGTACACAGTTCAGGTGAGTAGTACAACGAGAAAGCCAGTCGATGCCCCACGACAATTGGGAATGCCCACAAACAAATTTGCTGCTTTACCTGATGGGCTAACAACGGCCCCAGTTCGTCTGGAGACCAAACACCAGTACAACAAATATCTAGCAAAAAGTGTTCCTGGTCTGGGAGATCTGAAGGCTATGAATGCCAGAAACAAGTTTGAAAAATCACTAAATCCTACAAAAGTTAGGAATTAGAAACGATTGACTACCACACTTTAATGGTAGAAGTTAAGGGAAGTAAATCCATCCGATATTTCGCATCAAGAATGTGCCAATAATCAGTATTACCTGAACATCTATACATGTACTTGTATTCTTATGACAGTCTACCAAGCGATAACAAGTACCACGAGGAGTTAAAATGATGGGAAAATCTTTAATTTCCTCAAACAACTTGTGCTTTTTTTCTTTCGTAATATTTACTTTCGTTCGCTCAAATTTCCTAAAAATAAAGCACAAATTGTTAATTTAAAATATGAAAGAGGTTTTGAAACTTTATTTGTTGTAAATACTGGTATTACTTGTGATAAATAAACTGTGATATATATTTTAAGATTTATACTTTATCTACTTATTATGATTTGAATTAAACAATTTAAAAGTGGGATACTTAATATTTCTTGTTATTTCGGCATGTAATATTTTTTTTACTTGACATGAAATGAAATGTTAGGCAAAAACATTTCCGTATTTCATTAATAAACATTTTCTCAAGATGAAAAATTGCAAAAAACGGACAATAGTCAATTTTGTTATTTTATAAAGAACCCTGCTTGCACGATAATTTTGTCTGTTTATTGATTCAAGTAAAGTGTGCACCGTCATAACATTTGCGATCATGTTTCAGCGTTTCAATCTGCGAGATTTTGGTTGAGACTGGTATACATCAAAATCAAGATTTTCAGGGAAAATGTCTCCTCGGCTTAGTCGGAAAAACCGATGGTGGCACGCATGCTTGAGAAAAACCTCAGACTTGAGATAAAATCTCAGATTTGATGAAACACTCAAAAGACTAGTCTGAGTTTGAGAAAATTTTTGTTTGGTGGCAGAGTTCAGTGAGAAAAAATCCTCTTAGAAATCTCAGATTTAAGAAAATATCAGCGTTTGTGGTACCGAAGGCTGGACAAAAGAAATATACCCCTGAAAACACCTTGGATGGGATCGGATGCATTAGAGAAAGCATCAGCTCTCTAAAAACCATACTGCCGTGAGCACTCGGCATTGATCAGATTAACGGAGTCAAAGTAAAACATCAATGATCCACAAAATATGTATCTTTTTTTTTTTTTAATTAATTTACATTTATCTTCCCAAATTGTGATTTATGACTGAAAAAACCCAAATAATTCAGTGCAATTTAGGTAGAATCACTACAAATTCTATTTAAAAATATGTTGAATATATTAATTGTCACATCAGTGGATCTTTTATTAAATACTAAATTGAACAGTTTATAATATAAGAAAAATAATGTCATTTGACAATAAAAAAGAGATACAATAAAAAAATATATGTACTAAAGTATTCAAGATGGTATGCACTCATGTGATCATTGTTTTCCCTAAAAACACAAGTACATTTAGTTTTTACGTTAACGTGCATTTAACGCAGGTGAAATAAAATTTAGACTGTAATAGAAATATCGAAAAATACACTGTGACCTTGTATAGTAATGTTAGTACGAATATCCAGATAAGATCATGTTCGGCAATTTTTCCATTATGACAGATTACAGTTTCATATATCATCTTATAAGATCAAATATATTTCAAAATTCAAGTAAACCAGAAAGCGTTTAAAGTTCAACAGTTCAATTAAAAAAATACTAATGGTATATAATCTCATTAATGTGTTCAGAATTGTCAATGTTTCAATTATAAAATATTGAGAGTCCCAAAGCTCCTATATGCATTTCGAAACATTAAAAGTAGGACCCCGATATGACAAAAATAAAGGCATGCATCGAAAGCTGAACATTTGACATTCACTTTATATAACAATTGTTATACTAATAAAGAAATATAAGTTTCACTACAACTTGACTTCAAACGAAAACATTCGTAATCTTGATACATCGTCAACAAAGATATAATTCAGTCACAGCCGTAGTTCATGCCTTAGTATGGATCAATTCGTTCACAAACAAAGTGAAGTGGAGTTTTGCAATCCATCCTAGATATTTTGAATCCAAGAGTCTTGGCAAGAACCAGACATCCACTTCGTTGTTGTGTCATGAATCCCATGGTGGCTTTGTTTGGGTCTGTGGCATTAAACGTGTCAAATTCAATATCCTTATTGTTGGGTGCCCATTTCCATTCCCCTGGAAGGTCTGCTGCCGTTCCAGCTGTCCAAAATCCTGCAGCTGTGAACCCACCTGTAGAGACGGATTGAGATCGAGATTGCAAAATATTTTGACTTTGTTGTCTACTTGGACGGAAATTGTATGAGTATCGAAATGGGGACAAAGTAGTGCTTGTCACAGCTTGGACACCAGACACTGCAAAAAATATGTTCCAAGTTCCAGTCAGTTCACTGGAGGTCAGAAGCCTTGTGACATGCTAATTATAATCATGAGGTAGGTCGTACAGGTATTTTCGATAATGTTTATCTTTCGAATCTTTTTCATTTAACAGAAAGAAAGATTTTGTTGCAACTGATGTGCTTCCACAAAAATAAGTTGGTATGAGTTTTACCAGAGCTCTTTTTTACAGATATATTTAAATGAACTGACTTAAGGATGACGTTTACTCAGGTTTCAGAAGTCAGACAGGAAATTTTATAAAGTATAATATGTTAAATCAAAAATTGTTCTAAGTGGATAAAATAACCAAGTTTAAACTCAATATCAATTTAAAAATTTAATATTTTATTATTTTAAGGAAATATACAGGAACAAAAGTCAATGCATGGTAATGCAGAGGAAATTCGAACTAAATTTCCAATTTTTTATTTTGTCAAAATTTTTAATTTTTTGCAATATTAATAACAATGTGAAGGTGACATGTATTTCTAAACAGCATTTTGCAAATTTTATATGTGTTAAAGCTAATAAATTATTTCAAATAATTAAATGCTATGAAATAAAGAAATTCAAAAATGTGAACAAAAACCATTCCAGACAAGATATCTCAATAATTTGATCATTGATCCCATATAATATTAATACCACGAGAATAAGGGCAACAAAAGTAATTTGATTCTATAAATAATTTGGAGTTCTTATCATTCAGATTTTTGTAATATTCAATTAAAACTGGGAAAAAAATATAAATATGACAGAGGAAATTCGGACTGAAATAATTATCAAGTTTATGGCCAAAAGTCTTATCGTTTCTTTTTATGAAGCATCCCTGTTCCATTGCTATACTATTTCATTATTCAAAGAGTTTTGTCTTGTAATATTTATCGAGTGAAGAAAAAATTGGTCATAATATGAAAAATTGGGGTATTTTCCGAGAAATACTCAGGGGCCACTAGCATGAAAAGTAGGTCATTGACCTAGTTATTTGGAATTGAAAATTAACACAAGAATCATAGATGTACAATGTTCAGTAGGTGGTTTCTCGTTCTTATCAGTGGAATTTTTAGTCTTCTGAGTAAAGGTATACCTTAAGGTGTATATACTGCATAATGTCAAATTATTGTAACTGGTATATTGTCTTGAAGTTGTCCAGGTGGCACAATAAATAGAGCATTTGTTCTAGCGCAATAAGGAGTTGCTCCTTATGCTGAAATAATTCAAGGCATGAAAAAATTGCCATACTGTTCAAAGACTTAAACTGCCAAACACAAATCTGAATTTTCAGTCCTATACCAGTAAGTAAAGATGTCTCATTATCAATGGAAATTTTTTCAAAGGGACGTTAAAACTAATCAAATGAAAATACCTATGCATTGCCTAGGTTTAGAATCTATAATTGTTTTATTTTTGATATTTTGGCACAAAATGTTTAATTTGAAAGATATGCAAGATACACAATTGCAATTACCTGTGATCGTTGCCAAAATGCCTTGCAGGAATTCATATTGGGCAGTTGATCTTAAGGTCACGAGAGTGTTTTTGAATGTATAACAAAACACCTTAAAAAGAAATATAATCGGTTTCATTTCATAAAATATAAAAACAATAATAGAATTATAACTTGCAACTAAGAGAATGTAACCAATAATTGGATCCATTTTTCATTCTATTTTTCTTTATATGATAAACACGTGTGTTGCCTCTTATATACTAGTATGTGAGATCAGGGTCCTGTGAGAAGGTTTCTGTTCTTTCACCTTAAAAAGATAAATATCAAAGTCACTACAAGAGATCAAGACACAACAAACCAGAGCTTCTGGCCAGGAGAATGCCTCGGAGTGAAAGCTGTAGCAGGATTCCTCGTATCTTACAAAGCCATTAGGACATTTGACAGAGGTATTTCCTTGGGTAGCCTTGACATTTAGAGAATCGGTTACCGTTGCTGCAGAAAAAAGCAAAATCTTTTTGAAAGTTTTATCATACTTAGAAAGAGATATTCTGCTGCTTTACTCTAGAATAATTCAAGAAACAGTTATTTGGCGTTTAAAACCAATTAAAATTATTTCATTCTTAAGGAATCTTACAGTGTACCAAGGAAACAAATGGAAAGACTTGCGTTGAGGATATATGGTAGAGAAAAAAAGTGAAGATGACGAAAAGACATACATGCAAGTTTCCTGCAAAATCTACATCAATACAAATCTGTGAACAGTGAAAAATAAAACCAGACCAATCAAGTACATAGAGGAGGAAAGTATCGCCCATTAACTGTTCATGAATGTATCAAAAAGACTATTTCTAAGTCTCTTTTGATGTACGATGTTTTATTACAGCAAACGAACGCAGGATCAATTTATCTTTGTCTTTTTTTGTAAAAGTTATTTGCACCTGATTTTAATGAATGTATTATTTCATAAAACGGAACTTCTTTGTCTTATTTACCATAAGTCATAGCATCAAAACTTACAACTTTTAAATATTTTACCCTGCATTCTTAAATTCTTTTATCCTCATTAATGTATTAACAGCAGAGAAGGAGAAACTTAAGGAGTACCGTGCAGCAATATTTTATATGTATTTCAACAGAACTATATTTATATACAACCATTCCCATTGATTAATAAAAATTCCAGTCTGTTTGATTTTCTTTGACAGCTGCTTTATCAATTAAAATGGAACTTGTAAACTTATTTTATTAAAAATTTTATATGTGCGTATGTATATACGAGATGAAGAAAATACTGTGGTTTTTCAACTCGACATTTCGACAATTACACTGTAATTGAATCCGTTATCAACGATGTATTATCAATTTTTCATTTATATTTCAACAAGATATATCCCACAGAGCTTGAAATAAATGATTCCACAGAGTCTAAAAAGTATTTCATAATTTGAGATTAAGCTAGAAAAAAATCAATGGTAACCAAACAACAAAGCTTAATGATAAACTGTTGATTTCAACTTTTTAATCGTTGACTTCCCTTAGAAATGTAGCAATACAACCTTATAACCTGCATATGGGTTCAACCTCTCATTTGATTCGATATGCGAGAACACGTTCTTCGTACCAATAGTTTCAAAAACGAGGTAGGTAGAGTACCAAACAACTTTTCTGGAAATAGCTTTGAAAAAACGACAACGTTTCATTGATTTCACTCTTCTTCCTCAATCTATATTCAATTCTAGTTTTATGCACGCGGATCGATAGATCCCATGCGTATATTGTTTTTGTCCTGTCTGTCTGTCTTTGTGTCAGTTTTCAACTTTAGCCTTCGCCATAACTTTTGAACCATAGGAGATAGAGACTTCATATATGGTAAGCATACACCACTAATTAAGTTCTTTAAATTGACACCACGTTCGTTGGCCTTGTGACATTGACTGCGACCTATATGCTAAAAATAGGGGGTTTTTATGCGCCCGGATTGATAGATTCGGGGCGTATATTGTTTTTGTCCTGTCTGTTTGTCTGTTTGTTTGTCTGCAAACTTTAACCTTCGCCATAACTTTTAAACCATGAAATATATTTGGTATGCATACTCCACTAATTAAGCTCTTTCAAATGACACCAAAGTCAATGGCCTTGTGACCTTGACTGTGACCTATATGCTAAAAATAGCTTATTATCTGCAAACTTTAATCTTCGCCATAACTTTTGAAATATGAAAGATAGAGACTTCATATTTGGTATGCGTACTCCACTAAGCTCTATTATTAAGCTCTTTCATACACCAAGGTCAATGACCTTGTGACCTTGACTGTGACCTTTAGCTAAAAATAGTTTTTTCGCACCTTTTCCATAACTTTTGAACCACAACAGATAGAGACTTCATATTTCGTATCCATACTTTACTGATCAATTTCTTTCAAATGACACCAAGGTCAATGACTTTGACTGTGACATATTTGCTAAAAATACATGTAGCTCTTTTAGAATTTTGTTGCCGCCGGGCGCATATGTTTCACAAACACATCTTGTTTCAAATTTGTTGCCACTGGGCACATAGTGTTTCACAAACACATCTTGTTTTAATTTAAATTCTGATACTGGAAACATTACAGAGTGAGCGAAAACTGAAGAAATCTTTCTTTAAAGTAAATGTTTTCCTTCTTATAAAACTACACATACATCAAATCAATGCAAATGAGAAAATATTGTTAATCAAGAAACAAACAGAAACAAGATGTGTTTGTGAAACACTATGCACCCGGCGGCAACAAAGTTCTAAAAAGATATTTTTAGCATATATGTCACAGTCAAGGTCACAAGGTCATTGACCTTGATGTCATTTGAAAGAACTAAATTAATGGAGTATGCATACAAAATACGAAGTCTCCGTTTCTCACGGTTTAAAAGTTATGGCGAGAGTTAGAGTTGACAACAGACAGACAGACAAACAGAACAAGATGTCCATGGGCAACATCGCTCACCTGAGCACATTGGCTAGGAAATAAATCAGAAATCACTTCAGTATTGAGAAATTTACATAGGTGTGTGTGTTTGAGGGGGGGGGGGGGGGGTTTCTGGAATTTTAAACTACCAGCCCTCATTTGAACCAGTATGACTTTGTACTACCTGAAAAAGCCTCCATATCAATATGATTAAACATGGCTTTACTGTTCTTGGGAAAAAACTTTTCCTTGATATTTCTAGGCAAAACTTTGATGCCCAATTGTGTACCACCGTACCCAACCCCTACTTCTCATTCATGACTTGAACAAACTTTAATCTACACTACATGAGGATGCTTACATAAAGATGTGACCAACCATGGCTTTGTGGTTTTTCAAAATTGAATCTACACTACTTGAGGATGCTTCAATATAAGTTTCATTTTTACTGGCCCAGGTGGTTCTGGAGAAGAAGATTTTTTTAAAAAAAATCCTATATATTCCTATGTTAAAATTTGATCAGCCATTGTGGCCCCACCCCACCCGGAGGGGTCAAGATTCGAACAAGAGGCCCAGGGGCCACATCGCTCACCTGAGCAATTGGCTAGGAAAAAGCACATATCAGATCAGAACTGAAAGTTTACTTGGGGGGGGGGGGGGGGGGCTTGAATTTTAATCCCCTAGGAGGTCATGATTTGAACAAACTAGAATCTACACCACCTGAGGATGATTCCCTATAAATATCCCTAAGCATGGCTTTGAAGTACTTGAAAAGAAGATTTTAAAAGGTTTCCCTCTATATTCCTATGTAAAACTTTTATCGGCCATTTGGCCCCACCCTACCCCCGGGGGGTCATGATTTGAACAAATTTGAATCTACACTACCTGGGGATGATTCCAAAGGAGTTTCATTTTTCCAGGCCCTGTGGTTCTTGAAAAGAAGATTTTTTCTATATATTCCTATGTAAAACTTTGATCGGCCATTTTGGCCCCATCCTAACCCCGGGGGTCATGATTTGAACAAATTTGAATCTACACTACCTGAGGATGATTTCAAATGAGTTTCATCTTTCCTGGCCCAGTGGTTCTTGAGAAGATTTTTAAAGATTTTTCCTATATATTCCTATGTAAAACTTTGATCGGCCATTTTGGCCCCACCCTACCCCCGGGGGTCATGATTTGAACAAACTTGAATCTATACTACCTGAGGATGATTCCACATGAGTTTCATCTTTCCAGGCCCAGTGGTTCTTGAGAAGAAGATTTTTACAGATTTTTCCTATATACTCCTATGTAAAACTTTGATCGGCCATTTTGGCCCCACCCTACCCCCGGGGGTCATGATTTGAACAAATTTGAATCTTCACTACCTGAGGATGATTCCACATGAGTTTCATCTTTCCTGGCCCAGTGGTTCTTGAGAAGAAGATTTTTAAAGATTTGTCCTATATATTCCTATGTAAAACTTTGATCGGCCATTTTGGCCCCACCCTACCCCCGGGGGTCATGATTTGAACAAACTTGAATCTATACTACCTGAGGATGATTCCACATGAGTTTCATCTTTCCAGGCCCAGTGGTTCTTGAGAAGAAGATTTTTACAGATTTTTCCTATATACTCCTATGTAAAACTTTGATCGGCCATTTTGGCCCCACCCTACCCCCGAGGGTCATGATTTGAACAAAACTGAATCTACACTACCTGAGGATGGTTTCACATGAGTTTTATCTTTCATGGGCCAGTGGTTCTTGAGAAGATTTTTAAAGATTTTTTCTTTATATTCCTATGTAAACCTGTGATCGGCCATTGTGGCCCCGCCCTACCCCGGGGGGTCATGATTGGAACAAAATTGAATCTACACTACCTGAGGATGCTTCCACATGAGTTTCATCTTTCCTTGCCCAATGGTTCAGGAGAAGATGATTTTTAAAAGATGACATTAATTTTTTATTAATTCATAATTATCTCCCCTTGGAAGAGGGCTTGGCCCTTCATTTGAACAAACTTGAATCCCCTTCACCAAAGGATACTTTGTAGCAGGTTTGGTTGAAACTGGCCCAGTGGTTCTTGAGAAGAAGATGAAAATGTGAAAAGTTTACGACGACGAGAACAACGACTACGACGACGACAGACAACGGACAGATTTTGATCAGAAAAGCTCACTTGAGCCTTCGGCTAGGTGAGCTTAAAACAAAGAGATAAACAGACAAATAGACAGACAGGAAAAAAACAATGTAATATATATATATATATATCGGGAAACTCAATTATGATGCCGTAAGTAATTACGATCATGAAAAGACTTGTTAATTTCATTTAAATAAAATCATACCTGCATTTGCAGAAAATATTCCAAGACAAGTAAGCAAAACCGTTAAAACCAGTACCCCTTCCATTATCATCACAATTTTTGCTGTATGTATGTATCTATCTGCATGTTAGATGATTGCAGTAGAGTGTGGCGTATTAATCAGCCGCAGTTGTGTATATGATGTAATGCTGTTTTCTGAAAGTGTCCTTGACGCAAAGATTTGCAAGAAAATCTCTCATTTTCTGAAAACTTAGAAAATAAAGCCCATCAATATTTCTAGGCTTTTGTTTTATCAACATAAACGATTAACCATTTCAAATTTGTGTGTAGATATACATTAATATTTAAGGCATGCTGGTGATTTTCAGTTTCTTCATTATTGTTTTAAAAATCAAATGCAGAAACAAACTCTCTTATATATATAGGTGTGTTCTTAATACAGATAGAAATAAACTTTTAAAAGTGTTCTCTAGAAACATCCTTTTGTTAAAAAATGGTACAACTATGAAAAGCTAACTGCAGCGGTTGGATGTTATTCCATATTTTAAATCATAACAGACAAAGATTTTATTTTCAATGATACATTTATCTTTTTTTTCATTATTATTGTGACAATGATTTTGTTTTTAAACTTTCCAGTAATTCATTATGTTTTGTTTACTCTGATTAGTGTGCTAAATATAGCTGTTGTGACGGGGGTCCTCCCTTTCACTGGCACTGGTTAATAACGACGATTGTTTTTATTTACATCGTTTATTTACATATTTACAACACAATATATATTTATAAGAAAGCACAATGTTCACAATAAAAAGACACGTCCACACTCATTGACTTTCAGACTTGTTCTCCTCACTCTCTCACTCAGGTTCCCAGGGCCCACTTTCTCACACAAATCAATCTAGTGCTCACTTTCATCTCTCAGAACTCTATCACGCACAATAAACAACGATAACAGAAATGACAAATAAACAAATTATAAATCCGTGCTTGTCCACTCGCTTTCTCTCTAACTAACTAAAATTACACTCTTGGGAAACAGGGCTACAACGCCTGCGCCGCGCACCTGCAACCTATCACTCACTCATTTACAATTAATTAACAAAATCGGGCTATTGCTCTGTGACATACCTCCCCTCTTAAGTGTGGCGTCCCGACACACTAATAAAATTACATGTAGTAGACTGATAATGACAATTTGATATCGTTTACATAATTAGCTGTATATACAAGAATCACACATTCATAGATAAAGAGACATTACAGTTTACTACACACAGAAATAACAAAATAGTTTATCATGCATACATATTTCATGTTTTACCTTTTTTTCTTAGATTTTTGCGTTTTATCTTTAAATTTTTTTCCAAAACAAATGTTCATTTTAGATATACATTATATACACAACCTACGTATATACACTTCAATTATTTATTTCTTTGACTGAATAAAATCTTGTACAATCCTAAAGTCCTCGATTTCATTTTCACCTAGCCACTGGGTATGTCCGTTCTGAAACTGCACAAAATAACGTTTCTCCAATCGCTTGGAGTCGTTTCTTGACCGCATCATATCTATTACTTTGACAATGGGACCGTGGTCATTGACCGTCTCGTCTTCGTATTCGACGTCATCGTCTGGGATGTAGTCGTGATCAGGGCGGTCATTAGGATCAAGATACGGCTTCATCCTGTTGGCATGCGCTGTCAAAGTTTTTGACTTGTGATCAGGGTCCTGTAGTCTGTAGGTAACATTAGATAATCGCTCGATGATCTCGTACGGTCCGTGCCAATTGTGAGTAATTTAGGAGAGAGTCCAGGTTTAGTTGTTGGCGTGAATAACCATATTCCGTCACCTTTAGTATAATGAGTCTCTCTCGCTGCACGGTCATGATGTTCCTTCTGGTTTTGTTGACATTTTTGTAAGTTTTCTTTGACAAGCGTGTAGGCCTCTTGAAGACGGACTTTTGCCTCTTCCTTATAGTCGTCTGCTACAGCGTAGGAAAATGTTGGCGGACAGAGCGCAGCTTCCACTGGTAGAACAGGATCTCGCAAGTGCATTAGGTAGAACGGTGACTCTTTTGTAGACTCGTGAATGGCGGTCCTATATACAAACAGTATGTATGGTATAAATGTATCCCAGTCGCGCTGATGTCCAGACACATACATCGACAACATCGTTGTGAGTGTTCCATTGAAGCGTTCCACTAGGCCGTTGGTCTCCGGGTGGTAGGCAGTAGTAAAAGTTTTCCTGGTATTTGTTAATTTGCATATTTCCTTTATCAGGTTTGATCTAAAGTTCTTGCCATTATCTGATAGTAGCTCTCTAGGTGCTCCATGACGACACACTATTTCCTCTACAAAAAGTCGCGCAGTCGTTTCTGCATCTGCATTATTTACAGCAAATACTTCAGGCCATCGAGTTAGGTAGTCACTGAACACAATAATATACTGATTGGACTGGTAGGTTGGCGGGAATGGCCCAAGGACATCTACAGCTACGCTGTCGAATGGTCCGTTAACTGCCGGTAGCGGGTTCAATGGGCACTTTGGTCTGTTTTTCGGTGATTTCTTGGTAGCACAGTCTACGCATGATCTACACCAAAACTCTACATCTGAATACATACCCTTCCAATGAAATCTCTCTTGGACTTTGTCATACGTTTTCTGGAAGGAGAGATGTCCTGCTGTCGGGTAGTCGTGACAGGCATACATGACTTCGTCTATCAGGCTCCTTGGAACAGCTATATGGCGTCTAATAGCTTGACGTCGTCTATGAGATCCAGGCTGCCAAAGATGATATAGTAGACCATCGTGTCCGAGTTCATAATCACCAGATAATATTACCGTTTCACGAGCCTTTGAAGATAATTCAGGCAACTCTCCCTTCTCTAAGTAATTAATGATAGCGGCTAGTAGAGGGTCATTTTTCTGACGGTCGCGGATGTCCTGATATGACCTTTTTGGTATCACATCTGCGTCTGCCTTAGCACAGGTGGCTGCTATAGGGGATTCGGCAGGAATTCGAGATAAGGCGTCTGCGTTTTGATGAACCTTTCCAGGTCGATGTTTTATGGTTATGTCATACTCTTGAAGAGTTAATGACCATCACGCAAGGCGTCCTGCTGGATTCTTAATGTCCATAAGCCACCGTGATGGGTTGTGGTCAGTTATCACAGTAAATTTCCGGCCGAATAGATAGTGTCTAAAGTATTTCACACTCCACACAATGGCTAATGCCTCTTTTTCGATAACTGCATAGTTCTGTTCATTTGCTTTTAGACTCCTACTCGCGTACGCTATTGTCCGCTCGCCATCTGGACCTTCCTGGGCTAATACTGCACCTACACCAGTGTCACATGCATCCGTGTACAGGATAAACGGAAGTGAGAAATCTGGATATCTAAGAATAGGAAAGCTGGTCAAATTCAAAAGAACTTTCGCAGTTATTGTCCCAAATGAATTCGACACCTTTCCTTAAGAGCTTGTGTAAGGGAGCAGCCTTACTTGCAAAATCTTTTACAAACTTACGGTAGTAAGAGATGAGTCCCAGAAAGCTTCTAAGTTCGCTCACATTGGTTGGCCTCGGAAAGTTGTGAATTGACTTTACTTTCTCCGTGTCAGGCGATATTCCGTCAGCTGAGACTTTGTGTCCAAGGAACGTGATCTCCGTTTTTCCGAAGTAACACTTCTTCGCTTTTAGCTTTAACCCCGAATTTTCGAATCGTTTTAGCACTTCCTCAAGTCTTTTGACGTGGTCGGAAATAGTTTCCGAGAAGACAATTACGTCATCTATATACACAAGACACGTGTTCCACAGTAATCCTGAAAGCACAGAGTCCATAAGTCTCTGGAATGTTGGCGCACTGTTACACAGTCCGAATGGCATATAATTATATTCATAATGCCCTCCAAAGAAGGAAAACGCAGTCTTTTCTCTGTCACTTTCCTTAATGGGAACTTGGTGGTATCCTTGACACAAATCTAAGACACTGAAGTACTTGGACTTATTAAGTGCATCCAGCATTTCGTCGATCCTAGGGAGAGGGTAAACGTCCTTTTTGGTGACTTCATTTATTTTACGAAAATCAATGCACATGCAAACCTTGCCATCTTTATTCGGCACTAAATCAATTGGGGCGGAGTACGGACTCTTAGACGGTCGCACAATTCCATTAGCGCACATTGTTTCTATCTGGGATTCCAGTAACATCCGCTGGCTGTGAGGAATCCCCTAAGGCCTCAAGTGAATAGGCTTACTATCCCCTGTATCTATAGAATGTTCAACTAAATCTGTCTTCCCTAATTCATTATCACTGAAAGCAAACACTTTTCTATACTTATCTAATACCTTAGTAATAGACTTGCGTTCCGTTTCACCTAAATCACCTGATACATAGAAATCATCTATATCTTTCTCACCAGACTCAACACTCTCACTTATCTCAATCCCATTCAAGTTCTTGTAATTACATGCATCTTGCACACTCTCGCCAGTCGAACTTTCATCAGAAATAAATGAGATACATTCATCATTTATATATACAGAATCATTTGCAACATCAATGTAGCATGCACAGTCCTTCAAAATGTCCAAGCCTAAAATACAATCATACGGGAAATCCCTAGCAACAAATGCGTTATACACAACATCGGTTTGTTTACCAATTCTTAACCTAAAGTCACACTTCCCAACAATATCGACACGGTTGCCCGTTGCCGATGTGACACTAACTCCTCCAGCCGGCACCATTCCACTCTGGTTTGCGAATGCTTCATTTATAATCGTGACACTAGATCCGGTGTCGACCAACATCGCAGCACATTTTTCATTCACATATCCTATAATTTTGGCAGTACAAAATTTAGGATTTAACTGACAAGAAACAATATTTTCACATACATTTTTCACATTTTCAACACTTTTTTCACCACTTCCGGAAGAATTATCCTCTTCTCTTTTACGCAACCGGCTATCTCTAGGAGGGTGTTTTAGATCCTCTAGCCCTTTACCTCCACACAAAAGGGCGGACTTTAGTTTTCCGAATTGGCGTTTCTTTGCTCATTGCATCGGACCGCTATGTGTCCTACTCTACGACATTTGTTGCAGATCGGTCTCCCGTCGGTAGTCC